AAGTTGGTTTCTTTTCCAGACAGCTTCTATTTCCCTTGCTAGTTTTTTTTTTTGAGGTCGCTCGTGGGCGCACCAAAGGAAATGAGGACGCAAAATGGCCGCAAAAAAGGGCAACAAAATGCAACTGACAAGCGTAATCGTCAAGGGAATACTATACCCTTCAAAATGTATTTATATTTAATACAAATAGTAACCAAACAAATACCAAAGTTCATTGAAATCAATTAAATTATTTATGATGGCACAAAGACAAAAGCTTTTCAGTATTATTTGATTCTTAAGCGTTATTTAATCTAAACTAGATAGTGCCTCTCTAACAACTAACTAAATAACTAAAGTCGCAACCACACTTGGTGGTAACAAACAAAAATAAAAACCAGGTAGTCAGAAAGGGAAAGAAAAAATATGTTAATAAAGTGCCTAAGGTGGGGGGTGTTGGGGGTTCGGCATAGCTAAACGTGATAAACGCCGGAGGAATGACCTCTACGTCTAGTGTTGGGTCTATCTGCCTCGTTTCCACCACCCTCTCTTTCACACTGCCAACTGCATTTAAGTAAAAAAAAATATATAAAGCAGATGCATCTTCAAGTTGGACACTTGAAAAAATGGTTTTTAGTAGTTTTAAAAGTAATTTTTATTTTTAAAACACTAAAATTTGATAATCTTTTGATTGGCCTCTTTTATAATATAATTTGATATCCATAAATATAGTTTATATATTCGATATTTTCCAAACTTTATGTCAAGTGCATTTCTGGCTTTATTTTGCAGCTGCAAAGATGAAAACTTTGTGCCACTGGCCATCTCTCTAATAGGCCAACAAAAATCTTAGCCGGATAATAATGATGCCCCAACAACTGCAACTGCAGGCTGCGTTATCTGGCCATCTCTTTCGTCTTTGTTATAGCCATCTCTTGCTTTGGCAGCAGCACTTTAGATATGCATTCTGGTGCGGACGCTGGTTCTACCACTTCGTTGTTTGTCTGCATTTGTTTGCCAGCATTTCTTCTTTCGAGTTCATTGCCGCGGCTCTGTTTTATTTCTTTTCTCTTTCCAACGAATTTTAAATTCTCCTCCGAGTGGCAGCAACATCAACATCATTATCACATTGGGGCTCTTCTACCTCATAATGATGTGGCTTGTCGTCTTGACTCACTCGACTACCCTTCAGAGTGTGTTCATTAGCTTTGTAAGCTCCCCAGACCCGCTCTTGACACACTCCCTGATCATAATTGAATTACCAGAAAGGGGGGTATACCAGACAGTGCACTATGGGGTTTTTGACCACTTTATGTGGCATTTAATCATTTTTGGAAAGTTCTCTGATTTAAAAAAAATTAATCGGAATGTATTAAGAAAACATCAAACTATTATGCCTCATACTCAAAATATTGATTATTAGCACCATATGCTAGCATAACAGCTGCAAAGTCAGCTGTTGCATCTAAACACGTGCTAAGTTTGCAATTTTCAAATAGTGATTTGAGAAATTAGATTATTTGTTTAAAACTCCATTTAAAAGAAAAATAGTAATGGACACTGATTTCACAGGTTTGTACTACATGTTAAATGTATTAACTGTTTAAATTGTGCGTGTCTATACTAAAATTTTGTCATTTTATAGATGCACCTTAAGCTGAATTTTGGGAAACAAATTTCAATTTTGGGAAGAGTTTTGAAATAGAAGGAATAAAAAGTTTTCAATGCGTCCAAGTGTATGTTGTAGCGTTGTCAATACTGAGCAAAGGCTGTTAGTCTTATTGTGCACTTTTCTCCACTATTGGCGCAATTTGAATTTTTCTTAGATAACCTCACTTGCTCCAAAAGCCGACTTGGTCGCTGCTTGGAACAGGGAAAGGGGTCGGGCTGAGCATCAAATGGCTGTACAATGTTTTTTTTAACGCCATGCAAATAACAATGTGGATAATGCCGTTTTGAAAAAAAGCCACCAGTTTTTAATGGAAGTAATGGAAAATACGGTGCTTCCAGTCGGCTATTTTGGAGAAGAAGCGTCTGAGTCCTGAAACAAGCTGTATAAATCAGACAGGCGTCACCATTTAAGAAAACACTACCGATTACATTCCATCGCTGATGTGTTCAACAGAGCTATGGATACATAAGATCCAATTATTTCGTCCTTAATTTATCGAGATGCATAAAAAACTAAAGAGTCTTTTACTTCCAATTGAGGTATTTCGTATTGACGAATACGAAAATAATGTTTGTCTCGAAGATGACGAATTTAACGATTCCAGCTTTTTTTAGATAATATTGACATATTATAGAAAATGAAAAAAAAAGAATAATAAGATTAATACTACTGTATGAAGGAATTTTTCTTTTTCAACTTTTATATGCATTTGTATGGAAGAACACTGAAATCCGGTATTTTAAACTGACAGTTCCCAGGGAAAGCGTTGTCCGATTTGGTTTAAAATTACTATATCGTATTAAAATAGCAACAAATATCAGCTCCTTAAATTTCATTAATTTATCTTTACTTTTACCAAAACGTTCCTATGGGAGCTATAGGATATAGTTTCCTGATCCGAACGATTTTCATACTATATGTGCCTAGGATCAAATAATAACGATTGGTAAAGTTTCATGTCGATATCTCCAAAACTGACCGAGTTATTAATTAATGCCACAAAAACAGGTCAAAAACCCCATAGTGCAGTGGTAACAATCTTAGGAAGTGGTTGTGGCCAGTGGCGAGTTGGCCGAAAGGAAACAGTTGGCATTTAACAGAGGAAACACTTTGCCTTTCAATTTTATGGGCTTGGTTGGGCTATGATTTGGTTTCCAAAGATGATAAATGGTTAGGAATCTTAACTATTTTTTTTTTTTTAATCTTCTCTATCACTTTCAACCACCTTGAAAGGTAATAATAGTCTAAAAACACACCATTAATTGCTAAAATAACCACTGTATCTGCGGATTATGATCGAGCAGGTGGTAGGCACCCAGTTTCCTAGAAACCATAATTTGCACGCTTTCTTCTCAAAACCCAGACACGAGTCTCCCCTCTCCAAAGCCCCACCACTGATTCTTGGCCATGGCTTTAACACATTTTCTAAATATTTTCGAGTTCACGATCAAGATCAACGAAAGAGAATATATAGAGGCAGTGGATTCAACTCAATTGCCGCTAATGAAGCCGGCGAGAAGATGCTGTGAGAAGTAAGATGGTAAAAATTAGACGGGGGTTCCACAGAGAAGAGGGTCTTCCATTTTACCACCTTTTTCCCCCTTCAAAAACACGCACAGACACACACACATTTTAACTTTCATTTCTTCATACAGTTAGACACTTTTATTGTGTTTTATTATGTTTCACATTACTTTGGTTTTTTCCTAGCCCCTTCCCTTGGACCATTTTGTTTGCCATACGTTGCTGTTTCTGTTTGTGTTTTTGTTTATACGGACTTTTCTTGAATTTCTATTTCCAGCATAGATAACAATTTCTATAAGCAAAGTGCGATATTTCACAAGAGTCTCGCCGGAATCGAGTCTTGACTACAACAATACGTAGCGCATTATTTGTGCCCTTTTGTGGCATTGTTTTTCTTTTTCGAAATTCGTTTTTCTTTCAACGTTTTTCGTTCTTGTTCTACCATTTTTGGCATTCCTTCCGACGGTTTTGCAACTTTTCCTGGTTAACTTGGCTTGCTATTTGCAGCAAAGCCATGGGCTTACTGAAAAAAGGGATACCGCCATTTTAACCGCCATCTTGAGAGGGAAATGAATTTAAAAATGGCGGCAGGTCAAACAAATTGTAGACTACTTATTTAATTAAATAAAATTTAAATAGATTTTGAAACTACGCTCATGTCCGGAATAATAGTTCTGTGTGTGTTCTGAATGAATTTGGTTAGTACTCTGTAGCAACAAAAGCAAATATAAATTGCCAAAGATTAAAGTTGCAGTCGTGACTGGGGCGAAAAAAATGGCGAAACAAGCAAGGAAAATGGTAGTCACTGGCTGGCAAGAAGGGAATCGAATTTGGTCTCAAATTACTCAAAGGGAAATTTCAATTGAGATAATAGAACCTGATTTTCGTTGAAATTAATGATAATGCTCTACCATTTCCATGATTCATTTCCATTCGCAGAACACATTTTTTTGTGTTCTAATTGGGAGAAAACGTTGCCATCAGTTTATTAAATTACACAAATAAGGACTCAATATCAATAGAATTTACAATTTTATTTTAAATTAAATTCAAGTGTTTCCTGTTTTTTTTTTCTTTTCATTAATTTGACTGATTTTTTCTGGTCTTTAATTTTGTTTGAGAAAAAAAAAACAAACCAAACTCAATTTTCATCAAGTTGAAAAACCTTTTTCAAACTAAATTAAGCTCTTAACACTGCGGGGTAAACCGAAACAATGTGCCACGCTGGGCATGGTTTTTCATTCTTTTCTTTTCAGTTTTTTTTTGTATTTTCCCACACAGCAAGTCAGTGGAAAACCCGCGCCCATTTCCACTCAAAGATTTTGGGAGGAACTCTCTCGGCAGACACTTGTGCATATTAATTGCTTATTGAGCAGGCTTCCCCTGTTTCTGTTTCGCAGTGGGGAAGTCGAATCGGATGGGATACCAAGTATAAAAAAAAAAACCAGCCAACATCCAACAGCCAAAAAGAATTGTTTGGGAAAATCCTCGCGCAGAGGGAAAGCCTTTTTTTTATTATTCTTTATCAGTTTCAATCACTTCATCGCGCCCAGGGCAAGTGGTACAGTAGGCATTCCAATAGAGTCTTGGCAGGGGAAACACTAGAAATGTCGTGTTTTTTTAGAAGATTCCCAACAGGTTCTAGATAACCACTGAGAGAGTCTATTTATTTTCAAACTATCATTTTATGGATTTCTTATACTATATAATCACTGTACTTTGCCACATTTCACTGTTCTGGGTCTCATTCATTCATTCCGACACAGACCCACACACACCCTCACCCTCCACCTCGCATTCATTCATGCAGGTCCCCCTTTCTCACCTGTTTGTTTTGTTGTTGGTGCTGTTGTTTCTTGTCACTAGCCTGGCCTGGCTGCTTCTTCTTCTTCTCACCCGTCACTTTCGCTCGCGTATCGAAACAAGCGTTTTCCGGCCAGGGAGATTTTCGTTTTTTTTCGGTTGTAGGGTCAGAGGTCGCTGGTTTGGTCGGTGGTTTGGGAGCAGCCTTTTGTTGCAGCCACTTGTGCACCACTCTTCCCTGTTTTTTTTATTATTTTTTTTTTGTTTCGTTTCTCGCTTGGCCCTTTACTGGTTGACAAAATGCCAAACGCTTAAAATTTTTTTATATCCGTTTTATTTTATTTATCCGGAGTCGATTTTTTTTTATTTCAGTTAGCGCGTGGTTTTTAAATTTTGGTTTATTTGGCTTTGTCTGATAAAAAGCAAAAAAATAAAAGAGGTAATGTTGTTAACAATTTTTGTTGCCTTTTTTTGTTGCTGTTGCTGTTCTCGTTAACCTTTTCCGTTGCCGTGCACGTGTTTGATTTGGCAACGTTGTTGTTTTTGTTGGTGGGGGGGTTTATGGCAACCTGTTTGCCACCGGAATGTTTTCATGTGGTTTTCCCAAAAGAACGGATACTGAATGAAAATTCAAATGGAATGCCAACAGTAATAATTATGAATGATTGCATTCAAAAAATATATGTATGAATGTATATTTTTTTTGTGGCATTTAGATTTGGAAATACATAATAAGATTATTTTTGCAAAGCGCTAATTCTATTTAAATTGAAAAGATAAATTTTAGAGATTTTGTGGTTAAATTATTATTATCATAGCAACTGTGAAAATATGATAAAAGCCAAAAAATTATCTGAATTTTATTCAAAAAAGTTTCTTGTTCCTTCCAACAAATTAAATGTATTTTCAGTTTCTGAACAGATCTCTATTGTCATCGATAATTGTATGCAAATAAATGACAAAACTTTTGCAGATTCTTTCTTGTTTTTTTTGGTACTTTTTTATTAACATTTCCGGCTGAAGTATTTATCCAATTTTCCGCAACAATTTAAACAACAAACAAACAAATCAATTAACGGTTATCAGCATTTATTTTCTGGTTATTTTTTTTAGGTTTCGCTACAAGAAGTCGGTCAATCTGTAGAGTCTGGCTTTAAGGCGCATTTTTCGAGCCAGAGTGTGCTTTAAATTTGATTAAGTCTTCTAAGCGGGTTCTCTCTTTACTGGCTTTCAACTGCCAAAGATGGAGAGACTGGTGGGGTCTGGTCTCCAGCCACCGCCAAAGTGGCTTTCTAAACACAGATGCACGCTCTGCTGGAGCTGCCCACTTGAGGTAAGCAACAACAACAAGAAGAACAGCTCGGAATCGAGACAACATTGGACCGCCGCCTAACGGTAAACCAAATAAAAAACTTCTATCAATAGACAAATTCACAGCACCGGCAATGGCAATGGCGACGTCACGGCGCGCGTTTTAAATTCTAACTAGAAACCGTTGCTTTTCGCATTCAATCCAAATCCAAATCAAATCAAATCAAATAAAATCAAAACCAAAAATCTAAAATGAAACAGGTTCTTAAACAGGATTGGTTTGAATTCTTTTGTTGTTTGTTGCAAGTGCAAATGATAAGCGGAAAGCATGCAAAAATTAACACCAAAATCACAGGCAAACACACACAAACACTCAAAACACACACACGTACAATGCGGCGAAAGAACTCTCTCTGCGAATTTCCCTCGCTTTTCCGGATTTTTTCCGGAGTATCCACCGACGACGTCCGTAGCGCTTGAACAGTCACAGGTGACTGAAACTGAAACCAGAAAACAGCAGGCTGAAAGCCAAGAACCGAAGCTGGCTTAAAGGCCGCTGTTAACTCAATAACAGAGCAGCACACGAAGCCAAGTCACTGTGGGCCAAACGAACCGATTTGTTGGCCAAAACTCAACATTGCAATGTTCCAATGCATTGGAAGGGGTTACTCGAGACTGTTAGTTCTTAGGCACAGGTGCTTCAATGCTTAGGCTTATGAGATATAAAATAAAGGTAATTTTTTTAATTATAAGAAGAACTATTTAAAAACAGTAATTGAGAAACAAAGACTTCTATTTAATAATAATCCCGCTTATTAATCCGACTTCCCACTTCTTGGCGCCCTTAAAAGTAGGCAATGAAAATTTATAAGCAAACAGGTTTTCCTCTAGAAATCATAGAAGAATACAGTTAATTAAGAATATCTAAGGAAGGAGTTAGGAGTTAGTCAAATATACGATTAAAATATGTGCGATCATTACGTAGAATTAGATAATAACTATTATTTTATTAGGAAATTTAAAATTTCAGTCGAACCAAGTTGGAACGACTTCTTCAAACATCATACAGGTTCGAGAGAGGCTGCTGTTAAACTAACAGTCTGTTAACCTGCATTTGTTGCATGTAGAAAATTAAATGTTTGTTAAGGTTCGTGTTTGCATTTGTTTGTGGGATTATTAACCCCAAAATTAAGAGACTTTTCGCCTAAACTAAGCTTACAGACAGACATGCAACATCTTGCCAATAGCTAACTAAATTATTTAAGTGTAAATATTGAATTCAAAGGAAGTTACATTACAAAATTAAAGCCAATTATATTATTATTAGAGGTAACAAACAATTAAAATAGTTATAGATACTATTAAAAATAACAAGCTATAACTAAAACGATATTTCACTATTGCCGCAACATTTCACTGTAAGCAGTTTTGGCCAACTGCAACCGTAACAGAGACCACGCACTTTATGGCCAAAAGGGAGTAAACGAAGCCTGAGCCGCCCTTCTGACCTACATGGCTAACATCCTCACAAGGAATACCCCACCCATTCCTCCACAAAAAAAAAAACAAAAATGGTAGCATAAACCAAACTTTAAGAGCAACTAATTATGTGGGGGAAATATACGAGCATGTTTGGAGCTTTAAATAGTTGAGTGTTAAGTCGAGACTCTGAAATACCTGAAATAATTCCACAGTTCCCATTCAGGTTCGAGGCGAGGCATCAAAGATTCTCCGAAAGTTGAGGGAATTTGCAAGTTATGTGAATGCGTTTTTCCATAAGCTTAAACTTGCCACCACCCACTCTCCTTTCACAGTTTGGAACGATAAAAGTTTTCAAATATGTTACCCGTAAATCGTAGTTTGTATGCGTGAAATTTTGCTACAGTAATTACAGAAAAGTTCTAACCTTAAAACTCACCCTGAAACAGTCCCACAACTACAGGCTAAAAACGCAACCTACTTGAATTAATTAATAAATAAAGCTTTATTTTTATTCAGGCTTTACTGTACTTCCTTCCGTATTTTGCCTGCTGTTATTGTTTCGGTTATCTTCGTTTGGGCCGAGTGAGTTGCGGCTGCTTGTGAGTCGAGTCGAAGGAAGGCCTTCAGGCTGCACTTGCCATCTTTTTATTGTTTTCGTTTTTTTGTTTTGCCTTCGATTTGCTTTACTCGCTTTTTGGCCTCATCTCTGCTTTCCGCTTTCGCAGGTGACGTGGCCTATTAGCAGCGATAAAAGTCAAAGACGCTCAACAACAAAAGGATATCCGGCTGACGGAGCACCGCCAGCAGGAAAATGCTACCAGCAGCACGTGGGGCATGCAACGTGTGTCGTATGTGTATGCTTCTCTTTTTTTTATCTCCTCCTGTCTTTTTCACGCTCTGGCAGATTACGAGCGCGGGAAAATATATTTTTGAAAAATTAGCACATTAAAAATGTATATGACTAAGGCGATATCTTAATATGGCATACGTGACGCCGGCTCTCTGCCACCCAATACGAAAATGTGTCTACAAAAATTTCCCTAATGTGTCGACATTAAGCTGATTTCTTATTTACATTTCATATTTAATTGCGTAAATTGTTTGCTCCGAAAATTTTGGAGAGACACAAACTCTGTCTGATTTGCATTATCTATTCAATTTTGCTATTGTCGGGTACATTTTCAATATGTTAATTAGGCAGTAGATTATTTATTTATCATCTAATCCCAGGCGTAGGTGAAATGTTTATTTAATTTAAGCGTAAAATCTATTTATTTAGTCTGCAATTTGTCGGTTTAAGTTTGCATAATATTGTTAATTGATAATCAGTTATTTGAGGGGCTTAAAAATTTAAGCATATATATTTAGAATTATCTTTAAATAAGAGGGAAACGGAATGGAAGTTTGGTCTGTGTTTGGTTGAGCCCATAAAAGTATGCTATGAAATATTGCATTTCCCTATTTGCTGAAAGTTTTATAATTTTTTAGTCCTTCTTACTTTTAGAAAACTCTTGTTTAGTTTTTTTTTCAAAGAAATTGTTACTCAGTACCTATCTATGTCTATTTGACGTACAATTGTTTTTTTTTAGCTTGTGTTCCTTTTCTCTTCTTTTCAATTTTGACTTATTGTTGTCGGAACACAGACTCTGAGGCATTTTTCTATTTTTTGCTCTGCCATCCGTCTTTCTAATTGGCATTTAACAAGCCTCCTTTGTGTCGTCCTTTATCCCTTGGCCCATTCGCTTCACTTGTCCGCTCTTTAGCTCCTTCTTCTCACCTTCGGCTCATTGCATCTGACTTTGTTACACTTGATCTCTCGTCTGAGTCCGAATGCCACGCCCATTAACGTAAACTCATTAGACGCCGCTAACCATAATCCCCTGCCACCGATATCTCAGAGGACAACCGGCAGAACCCACAAATAAGAGAGGGAAAATAAAACCGGGTCTGAAAACCAAAACTCATTCCAAGTCTGTGGACACGTAGCATCGCATAATTACAACTTAATCGCTTGACAAACAAAGCAGACGCCCCCACATAAACAGCTATTACAACAAAAGTCACGGGGGTGGTGGTGTAGGAAGGAGGGGGAGGAGAAAGTCAGAAGGGATAATGCTTGTCCTAAGTTTTAAATGGCGACCCAAAGTCACTTTAAAGACTCCTCGGCTATTTGGCTATGGACATGCTGTCTCTCCTTTATTGTCACGCCTTAAATAGTTAATAGGGAGAAATGCCAGTAAGAGGGGAGATTTAAAAGTTCTAAGGGTGTTGGTGACAATTCCATTAAGGTATTTATATTAATTGTGGCTTAGCAGGATTCTGAAAAAATTATAAAAAAGCTGTTCGTATCTGCCCTTATATATTCACTTACCTTTATTAAAGTTTTTTTATATACTATTTTATTTAACATTTAAATAAATGTATCAGATTGTTTTAATCTACCCATTTTCATGTAAGCAAGGGTTGACATTGCATTCAAAAACTATTTTCATGTTAGGACATCGTCCTGCAACTCCCCGCAAATGAATATTTCATGACAATTAAAATGTTAACTCTGTCAAGCAGCACGCAAAGGACCCATCCTGCATTACAGTCTTCCGCTTCACCCACCGCCATTCGCAGGGCCAACCTTTGACCCTGTTTGCCACACACTCACTCCTACTCACATACACTTACACTTACAATTACACCTGATGAAATCCCCTGGACTTGCCACTGGCAATGTTGCGGTCAATTTCATTTCCTTGCCACCCCGAAAGCATTTTTATTTGGGGTAGAACTAATAGGATATTATGGGTTTAAGTTAGGGTTAAGTTTGTGTATTTAAAATAATTGAATCGTAAATTAAATAAAAACAAACAAAGCCATTGTTGTTGCCAATAAAACCCTTAATAATTCGTGGACTTAATGTAATGTTATTAATATAACAAATATCTAGTTCCTTTAGATTTTTTCAAAGTGCATTGCTCATCGTACTTGGCTTATTGCCATGCCTATTGCCGTTGGACAAGAATTTCGCGGAGCTTTCATTATACGCTTCACAAAGGATACTCTTGTCCGCGTCCTTAGCTCCTGCTTTTGTTGCCTCCTGTTACCATTACCATTAGCCACGAAATTGGCAGTATGCCTCAGTTGCATCCTGTGTGCATACATCACTTCATTAGGCGTATCAATGTCAGTTGCCCTTCCGAACACTGAGTGGCATGCATCAATTTCTAAAGATCCAGAGTTGCTGAATCAGAGAGGATTCATTATGGGGCTTAAAGAGAAAGCCATTGGAAACAGTATCTTTCAACCTAAAACAGCAAAAGCCTATAATTTACTCCCCCTTTCTGTTTCAAAGTCAAAACCAGACAATTCTTTTAATTTTGTAAAGACCATAAACCATATTTAAACACATAATTTCTCTGTGACCAACATAGAGCAATTTCCGCAGTAAATCTGATTTATTTTGTTTCATGTTTGCCTTTCCCATTCAATATTTGACATTGGAGGTGGTGCCCGTGGGGAAATTTGTCGCTGAAATGCAAATATAATTAAACAAACCGCAAAAATATTCACACAGCAGTTGGCCATTAAAATTACACATTTTGCCAATTATATTTAGAAAGTCTGATGGCAGAAACAAAGTGCAGAAAAAAACAAAAATAGCAACAAATCCTGCCCAATTATTTATTTAAATATGTATTCATTTATAATTTATGTATGCACACACGTGCCTGTTGGTGTTTGTATTTAGCGAGCATGGCTGTGTATATCAATTATTTGGCCAATTGAAGTGATTTATTTATTAATTTTTCCAAGCGGACCGGGGCGTAAGTTATCATTTGATTTCAATTTGCTGTTCAGGTGTTCATTGCACAAAGTTAGTAGTCCTTAGGGACTCGAGTAGTTTTGATTTTATTTCATTAATTTTTAGTCAATATTCCCTACCTTGATTTATAGCGTTGCGTCTCATAACATAATTTAATTGATTTAAATGTTTAACACGATATTTAAGTGACTTCGCTTGG